GGGGAATAATAATAAGCGAGAGAATAATGGATGGATTGCGCCGAGAGGGAGACGAGAGAGAGAAGGACAGGGCAGCGGAGGAAAAGCACAGATGTTCCTCGCTCACCCCTTTTTTTCTCCTTTCGCGAGCACGTGGCCGACGTGGACGGCTTTTCCAGCGTGCGCCGACGCGGCCGAGGACGTGTGCGCCGACGTGGCCGGCGGCTCTGCGGAATGGGACCGGGACGGACGGACGGGTCTCTGCCCTGCCTGGCATTCCTTCCGAGACTGGTGGCAGTGCCATGATTGATTGGGACGGAGCAGTGGTTGCGTTTGGTTGAGCTGTTCCCTGCAAAGTTCCTTCTTAGCCGTCACGCAGAAGCAGCAACGTGATGACTAATTTATGCATGCATGAATTTCTTCTTGCCATTTTCGGCTCTAAAGTGTAGTACGTAGTACAGTAGGCACGTACTTCTTTCCTAAAAAAGTTTCAGATTTATTATAAAGTTTTAATCAGCAATGCAAATCACCTCGAATATGATAAAAATGACATCGACACCTCTAGACCACCGAACAACCACTGCCGATGTTAGAACGAGCCGCGGACGCCGCTCCCCTGGAGCCGCAGTTGTTATGTCGGACTCTTGAATAAATCTGAAACAAATGCCAACAAATCTCGCCGTTGCGCACAGACAACGAGTAAATCTTAAGTTAACGCAGACAACGGGAATCCATGCGGGAGCTTCGTCAACTACATTTCGATGGACGAACTCGAGGAGGATCAGAGCTCGAAAGACAAACTCAAAGAAGAAACGTTGTCATCTGCCCGAGCACCGCACATGCGAGGATTTAAAAACTAACTTAAACTACTAGCCAGAACAAAGGCACCTAGAATCACCTCTCCATCACCGGCCGCCGAAGCGCCAGAAGAAAGGCAAATCCGCATACTCATCAACGAAGCTCGAAGAGGAGAGTTTGCCCTAGCTGTCTGAAAATACTCAAGGCAAAAGTCTTTGGTAGGCACGTACATTCGGCTCGAAATATTCTTGTTGACTGAGGTGGCATGTGCACGTGGACTTTCCTCCTTTCTCTCACGTGCACCGGCGGCCAGAAGCTGTGTACGTTTGACCAGCCGGGCCTCCTGAGACCAAGTCAACAAGAGGAAATTCGAACCACGCTCACATGCATGTCACGAAATTGAAATTATCACCGTCAGAGCAAAGAACCAACGTGTAATACGTACTTGGTTCGAGGAGTACACTGTTAGTCGCACATGTCGCCTATGCTTACGCCGTAAATCACGGTCTTTGATCAACTTATCATAGTTTTATCTGTCGCCTGTCGGTTAACTCTCCGTGTGCGGCTGCCTGCTCGTCTGCGCTTATTTCATCCGTTTGCATGGGAGCCTCATCGTTGTTACTCTACATTGTACACACGGTTTTTAAATACAAAGTTTGGTCGTTAGTTTCTACTACCAAATTACTAATATATTTACAGAATACATGAAGCAAAATATGATGAAAATTAGGAGATCATTTGTATTTAAAGATTACTAAATGCTCTCTGCTGATTTTTAAAAGGAATGGCGTCTAGACATACCCAAATTCTTTTTGACCTTTAACTTCAGCTAGAATATAAATATAAATCCCAATATTTGTTGTATTATAAAAGTATCTTCCAAGAAAAAACTATATATGCATATAGTTTTCGCACATCCCGACAAAATACTCCCTCCGGTCCCTTTTCACTCCGCGTATTAAATTTGTGTCAAGTCAAACTCAACAAAGTTTGACCAAATTTATATTTAAAAATATCAACATCATGTCAAAAGATTTTACAAACTATAAGTGATCCAGATTTAAAACTTTGGAAATAAATAAGTACAAAATGTTAGGTTGTTTGCGGGTTGAACAAGGTGTTCGGGAATGCAAAATGGAATTTCACTTTTAGAAAGTGTTCAGGAAATAAATCTGACAAACTAAAGCAACCAACGATTCTGTTCTGCAATAGCACTGTCAAGAATCTGTCTCTGTTCTTTCTTTTTCTTTTTTGCATTTCTCTCGAAAAGTTGAACCACATCAAATATCATGTAGGAATAATGTTTTCCCTTAAAAAAAACTACATGCTATGAATTTTTACCCAAACAGAACCTACATGCTATGAACTCACAAGATTATCTACGAAGTCACATGGAATGCTTGGGGTTGGGGTGTCCCTTGGCCGTCCATGGCGAAGACACTCTCCAGGTTACAATCTATGCAACATCATTGAACACCGGTGCTCCCTTGGCAACCTTGATGAAGACATCCTCCAAGGTAGTGTCAACGAGACCCCAAGCATGTATGCTGAGCCTGCTTTTCGCCCTCTCGACTGCATGAAAGACATCGGCTATTCTCACCTCCTGCTTTGGCAGCTCAAACTTTTGAGTGCCAGAAAGATTGTAGATCTTGTTTGCACTTGGTGACAGGCGATGGACTAGCTGTTCAATCTTCGACTCTTGTTCTGGTGGTGTTGTCACTGTAAATATGTATGCACCCCCGTATCTTGCCTTCAGCTGTATGGCATTACAGTGGTAAATAATTTTTAGAATTGTTGCTACAGTAACATTTCAGATTTAAGAAGCTGATGTATACCTCTTTAGGGTTTCCGAGGCATTGGAACTCGCCATCGACGAATATGCCAAGTCGGTCACAAAGTACTTCTGCCTCCTCCATTGAGTGTGCTGTCAGATACATTGGAACAGACGATATTCATTGTTATTTTCAGATGCAGTAAAGTGGTGGACAGGGGAGTCTATGATGTAGATGCATGAGTGGACAGGGAAAAGAATCATAATTACTAGTAAGAACAATTGCACGGTTTCTCTTAGCCTCCTTCACAATGTTCCACAGGTTATTTCTTGATGCCGGATCTAGTCCTGTACTTGGCTCATCCATGTAGACAACCTAAGGAATGTTTCCTTCAGCTTCATAACCAATTTGCAAATAGATTTCTACAGGAAGGGTTGAAACTTGAAACATAAAAACAAGAAGAATACTTTGGGGTCTCCGATTAATGATATTGCCACACTGAGCCTTCTTTTCATGCCTCCGCTGTACGTTCCCACTTGCTTATCACCAACACCACCATGAAACAGATTTACACTTTTCAGAGAATCATTAACAGCCTGATAATGAAAGAAAAGTTGATGTGTTTAAATGGGGCCAGCAATGCTGAAGAATAATACTGTACATACATTGAGATGCTGAATAATATGGCTGATGAATGAAGATAGTAGCTTGAATTCTCTTACAATGAAATGCAAGTACTAGACTAAAACGAAGTTACAGAGATTAGATGTACCTTCACTAATGCAGCACCTTGAAGATTCTTCAACCTAGCATAGAAGAATAGATGCTCTTTTCCCGTCAATGTTTCCCAAAGTAAGCTGCATTTCAGACAAGACCAGTTACCATGATAAGACAGTGTGATGTGGGAAAGAAAGCTAATGGCCAGATGAGCTATAAGTTGCAGTAAATACTCATGCTGTGGGCACACGCCCATATTTGTATATATGCCATCCATATCCATCCTTATATCCATTCCATGTGCATAAGCAGTACCAGATGTAGGTTTAGTAAGTCCAACCATCTGAGGACAGATCAGATCAAAGTTAATCAAGGTGTGTGGCAATACTTTATGCAACTTCTATAAAAAATGCCACTGCATGCTGTTTCAGTACTGTACCATACTAATGAATGATGTTTTCCCAGCTCCATTTGGGCCAAGCATTCCGAAGCATTGGCCTTTTGGTAGGGCCAAAGATAATCCTCGAACAGCCAGCTTGTCTGGGTTTCCGTCCTTTCCAGGATAAACCTTCCTCAGATTGTCACAGATGATAGCTTGGTTTGCATTGCAATCCATCAATAATTGCTCAACTACTTGTCGCTGAATAGATATAAACGCATGAGTATTAATGCAAATGTGCTGTAGAAAAAGATGGAAGTGACAAACTATGGCAGGTAACCTACTTCTTGAGCAACATCTGCTTTCTCCATATCAACGGCTACTTTATGATTCTGCTGCGCAAAGCTACTTTGTAATGGTGGTGCATGTTTCTTCTGCAGACATCTAAAGAAGAGTAAGGGGTTTCCGACACTGCCACCTATTGAAGAGACTTGATCCAAATAGAATGCTAACACAAGCATTAATGCCCATTCTACAGTCATTACGATCAAGATATCACGCATTCCATTGATTGGGTCTTTCAAATTTTCCCACATCATGCCAGTGGCTCCCATAGCATTCCCAGAGAATGCATATTGACCAAGCTCATACAGTCCTCGATAGAGCGAAAATCCTGGGACAATCTCCATAAC